AAAACCCAGCCAATACATCTGCCAGAACTACACCCAGGGATCTTTTGAGTAACACTGGCGCATATTTCCCAGGTCAAGCAGGATCTTTTCCTAGCATAAAGATGTCTGCCATTCAGTTACTTATACAACTCTGCTCCAGTTACCAACACAGTCACCATTCCTAAATTTTACTTCCAAAGGTGCAAACTAGGGACCTCCCAAGCTCCTGAGAGATGTAAGTTTGTCTATATGACCTTAAGGATGTCTTGTACCCTCTCTGAACTTCATCTGCAAAATAGATTGGTTCAACAAAAAACCTAGTTCTGTTGCTTTTCATTTCTAAAAGCAACCCTAACATCTCTTTTAGATGCTTAATTAGAATTGACATCAAGGAGCTTTACCAAATATACTTTCTCAGAGAGATGCTAAGAGGAAAGGGCTCCTCCAGTATGTTGCCCTAACCACCAGCACATACCTGTCTTAAAAATGGTGGGCTGTCCACAGTCTGTCTCTTCCATTAGTATAATAGCCACATGAGGGCATTTTGTTCCTAGCATCTTGCACAATGCCTGATAAATAGTATGTATATATTTAATGAATATTTGTAGCATAGATGAAGGAATAGGGGGTAGAGATAAGTTAGTTCTGTATTTTTTTTTTTTAAACCAGAGATTGAATCCAGCCAGGGCTTTACCATTAAGCTACATCCCCATCCTATTATTTATTTATTTATTTATTTTGAGATAGTCTCACTAGTTGTTCAGGACCCCACTAAGTTCCTGAGTCTGGCCTTCAACTTGTGGTCCTTCTGCCTCAGTCTCCAGAGTCGTTGGGATTACAAGCATATGCCACTGACATTAGTTCTGCACTTCATAAATCTAAACCAAAGCAACATTTTGGGCACTTGTTCCCACAAGTAGGTATGAGGTATTGGGAAGACTAGGGTAGATTATTTTGAATCAAGACTATTCTGTAGGGCTGGGGGTATAGCTCAGTGGAAGAGCACTTGCTTAGCACGTACCAGGCCCTGGGTTACGTCCTCAGCACCTGATCATCCCCACAAAGACTGATGTATAAAATCCAGGATGAGTAATTCCTGTGGCTACAGAGAGCCCAGAGGAAAGAGGGAAAATCCTACTGCAAATATTTACTGTGTACAAATCTTACATAGTTTTCACATTTGTTTAATAAAATACCGAATTTCTCGCTTTTCAATGGACTTATGAGGTATATTTTAGAAACGAAGAAACATGTTTAATGAGATTTAACAATCCACCAGAGAATGAGTTGCTGATGAGCACAGATTAAGGGATCAGGTCTTGTGCTCAAAGTCCACTCTTCTTTCACAGTTCTGTGAGAGTAAGATCGAGGAGGGGCCAGTCCTGAAGAAGATAGGTATCCTCAGCTGGCCAGATGGGACAGCTCACGCCTACTGAGCTCTGGGCTGAAGCGTCAACTTGGAAGGCCAAGTTGCTTCCTGGCATCCACTCTGACATAGGGAAAGCCGGGGTAGTGGCCACCTGAGCTCTCAAGCGCTCTCATCACTGCATCACTAACAAGGGTGCTCTGACGTGCTCAGCTGACGTTGGTGTGTGAAGTGACAGATGCCCTGGCTGCTGGCGGCGAAGGGGACGAATCCTGCCGAGGTCAAAATCTCTGCTGAATAGCACAGTTACCCGAGTCGCCCCCGCCAGCCCCGGACTGCGGCGGACAGGCGGCCAGCCTGAGCAGCGGACCGAGCCCCGCACGTGGGTCCGCAGGGCGGAAGGCGGGCAATGCCAGCGCGGACTACAAATCCCACAATGCTCGGGGCCGCGGCGGCTGGTTAGGAGCCGTGCCTCAGGTGTCTGCGACCTCAGCGCCTCC